AGAGAGGGACAGAGAGAGAGAGAGAGAGAGAGAGAGAATTTTAACATTTACTTATTTTTTCTTAGTTCTCGGCGGACACAACATCTTTGTTGGTATATGGTGCTGCTGAGGATCGAACCCAGGCCGCACGCATGCTAGGCGAGCGCGCTACCGCTTGAGCCACCTCCCCAGCCCCCTTTTTTGTATTTTATTTAGAGACAGGGTTTCCCTGAGTTGCTTAGCACCTCACTAAATTGCTGAGGCTGGCTTTGAACTCGTGATCCTCCTGCCTCTGCCCCCAGAGCCTCTGAGATTACAGGCGTGCACAACCATGCCCGGCCTAGAGTTACTTGTGTGTGTACTACTGGGGATTGTGCTCTATCACTGAGTCACATCCTTTTTATTTTTTATTTTGAGACAGCCTCGCTAAGTTACTGAGGCTGGCCTCGAGCTTGGTGATCCTCCTGCTTCAGCTTCCTGAGTCACTGGGATTACAGATGTGACTGTACCTGGCTTAGAGTTAGTTTTTTTTTTTTTTTTTTGGTACTGGGAATTGAACCCAGCAGTACTTAAACACTAAGCCACATCCCCAGCCTTGAGACAGGGTCTCCCTAAGTTGCTGAGGCTGACTTTGAACGAACCATCCTCCTTCCTAAGACTCCCAAGCCACTTGTATTACAGAAGTATGTCACTGCACCTGGCTAGAGTGAGTCTTAATTACCTAAAAACAAATTATTTCAATTTACTTTAAAACAGAGTAACAATCTCAAATGGGATATATCCTAGGAACAAGAATTGCAAAGGAATGTTAGACTTTTTAAATAATCATACTATTAATAATAATATTGGTATTGTTACACTGATGTGATTACATAAAAATATACAAGCAATTTTGTGTTAAAATAATTGTGATCTAAGATGTTTACTATAAGAGAAAAAAGATATAAATATGAAATCAAAGAAGTGAATAATTATATAAATTTGAATTGAAAACATCAGTGTTTCATGATGTTTCATTTTTTTAAATATATTTTTTAGTTGTAGATGGACACAATACCTTTGTCTTTATGTGATGCTGAGGATCGAACCCAGTGCCTCACACGTGCTAGGCAAGTACTCTACCACTGAGCCACAACCCAGCCCTCATATTTTTTTTTAATATTTTTTAGTTGTAGTTGGACACAATACCTTTATTTTATTTATTTTTATGAGGTGCTGAGGATCAAACCCAGGCCTTCGCATGTGCTAGGAGAGTGCTCTACCACTGAGCCACAACCCCAGCCCTGATGTTTCATTTTTTTTTTTTTTAAAGAGAAAGTGATAGAGGGAGAGAGAGAGAGAGAGAATTTTTTTTTTAATATTTATTTTTTAGTTATTGGCGGACACAACATCGTTGTTTGTATGTGGTGCTGAGGATCGAACCCGGGCTGCACACACGCCAGACGAGCGCGCTACCACTTGAGCCACATCCCCAGCCCCATGTTTCATATTTTGACATTTAAATAGTTAATCATACTTTGGGCTGTGGTTGTGGCTCGGTGGTAGAGCACTTGCCTGGCATGTGTGAGACACTGGGTTCAATTCTCAGCACCACAAATAAATAAATGAATAAAATAAAGGTCCATCAACAACTAAAAAATACATATTAAAAAAAAAAGTTAACCATACGTTCAGGTAACCAATCTAATAAGGGAAAGTTTGGCTTTAGACAGCTATTCCCACAGATGCAGCAGGAATCCCAGACTAGAATGTCACCATTTTAAGTATGGACGGTGATCTTCAGTGAAGATGTATAATGTCCACTTATGAGCTGTTCTTGGCCCTCCCCCAACCAAGCCTAATTAGATCTCTCTCTTTAGCTTGTAGGAAATTAAGGGACAGAAGGACACTATAAAAATGCAAATGGCAGGGCTGGGGATGTGGCTCAAGCGGTAGCACACTCGCCTGGCATGCGTGCGGCCCGGGTTCGATCCTCAGCACCACATACCAACAAAGATGTTGTGTCCGCCGAGAACTAAGAAATAAATTTCAAAAATTCTCTCTCTCTCCTCTCTCACTCTTTAAAAAAAAAAAAAAATGCAAATGGCAAATTCCCAAATTTGAGAAATTCCATAAGACATGTGACCTGACTTCAGTAAATTGCAAAAAGAAAAAATTGGGGTAGGGACACAATGGATTAAGATAAAAGAGAAGCTGACCACAGAGGTACACTCCTGTCATCCTAGCACTGGGGAGGCTGAGGCAGGAGGATCAGAAGTTCAAGGCCAGCCTCAGCAACTTAGTGAGACCTTGTCTCAGAATAAATTAAAAAAAAAAAAAAAGGAGTGGGGATGTGTCTCAGTGGTAAATTGCCTCTGGGTTAAATTCTCAGTAACCCCCATCCCACCAAAAGAGACCTATTGACCAAGTGCATTGTGGGTACCTGGTTTGAATATGGATTCACATAAACCAATCATAAAAAATAACTTATGAGACAAATAGGAGAATATGACCCCTGACTGGATGTCTGATTATATGGAATGAGTGAATATTCGTGTGGGATGACAGTTTTGTAATTATCTTTTTAAAGCGCCTTTATCTTTTAGACAGATATGGAAATAATTATTAAATAAAAGGCAGTGTGACTATAATAATGCATTGTATTATTGCTTAGCATAGATGTTAATTGTCCTCACCACAAAAATTGTAAGTTTGTGAGGCAATAGACGTTAATAGCTTGATTCATAGTGTAAACATATGAGAGCATCATATCATGTCCTCTACATATATTTGTCAGTAAAAAATAAAATCTCGTTAAAATTTAATCTGAAATGGAGTAGGGGGGGTCACTGGATAGGGAAATAGATAGGAAGAGGTTGGTCTATAATTTAAATTGTATGATGGGCACACTTGGGGTTGATTATATCATATTCTTTACCTCTGTATACCTTTAAAACCTCCCATAAGAGGATAAAAGGGAGAAGTAGAAGGCAGTGGTCTCCAGCATTTTTCTTCCCACCCTCTACCCAATACTGCCTGTAGTTAGACGAATTTTCCAATTTGAGGGTTAACTTTTTTGACCTGACTTATAATTTATTTTTGTGAAGTATCCTTTCCACATTTGATATATGAACTTTCCAGTGTGAAATTTTTGTTTCGTTACCAGGGACTGAAATTGAACCCAGGGGTGCTTAACCTCTGAACTACATCCCAGTCCTTTTTGTTTGTTGTTTTTATGATATGATCTCACTACGCTGCTGAGGCTGGCTTTGAACTTGGTCCCTCTCTTAACCTCCCAAGCCACTGGAATTAGAGGCATGTGCACCATGGCAGCTTCTAGTGTGTACTGTTTTGATGACAAAGAATAACTATGCATGAAAGGCCATGGAGAGGAGAGCCTGCCTTAGTAGCCATTTATACCACAAACCTGGAGAATTGTGGGACAGAATGTGGCTAATACTTGTGGTTGCCTACTGAATATCCATTTCCCACTTCTTCCTTATAGATAGAACCTCAGTGTTGTTCAGCATGGTGCTCTCCCAGATGGAAAACTACATTTTCCCAGCCCTTTTAGAGCTAGAGATGCTATTATAACACGTTTCAGACCAACAAATATAAGAAAAACCACAGGTATAGTTCTGAAAAAGCTCTTTAATCTGGAGTTGACTGAGCAAATCTTTTTGCTTCTCTCATTTTACCTGGGATATGAATGTGATTCTAGTGATGGAGCATTCTTCTTGTATCCATGAAGCCAGACAGAAACAATGAGAGCCACAGTAAGACAGCTAATGGGAAATACAGGGGATGTACAGAGTCCTGGTGGTATTGCAGGGTCCTAGATGGCCAACTTCTAGACTTCTTGTTCCTTGAGGGGAAAAAAAACCCACAAATATAGTGGGGGTAAACTACTGTAATTAAATTTCTAAGGGATTGATGGTGTGATACCTGGGATAGAACCCAGGGCCTCAAATATGCTAGGCAAGCACTCTGCCAATGAGCCACACTCCAGCTGCGCATACTCATTGCCAACCCTGAGACACTGTGTTAAACTGGTAAGAACAGCATGAACATCTTAAAAGGAGTTTTCAGCATGTCACTCTTAACAATGAACAAAGAATCTCAAGTGACCCTTAGAGCTCAGATTTTGGCCTTTCAATCTCTTGTCCACCAAAAGCTGTCAGGACTCTTGAGGGGGCCATGTCCATATCTGCAGTACAGGAGCCCTAGAACACACTGTGTTCAATGGACACAGTAACTAGGTTCAGGGCCTCCTTGTGGCTTGCTGACAATCCAGGCATTTAAATGCTAACTAATAATTACAATAGCAGTTAACTGCATTGAGTTGGTAAAAGGCCTTGAAATCATCACACACTCAAAAGATAACAATAAAAGAAACAAAGAAGTAGCTGTGGCTCAAGCGGTAGGGTAGCTCGCCTGGCATGCGTGCGGCCAGGGTTCCATCCTCAGCACCACATACCAACAAAGATGTTGTGTCCGCCGAGAACTAAAAAATAAATATTAAAAATTCTCTCTCTCTCTCTCTCTTCTAAAAAAATTTAAAAAAAAAAGAAGTAGCTGCAATCAAAAGGGAAACTAAATGTTTAATTCTCCTTTGTTTGAACAAATATGAGAATGGATGTTCTTTGTAAGTATACTGTATTAAGGTTCCATAAGAAAAGCAGAAGAGACATAAGTATATATAATATACCACATATGTGATGTGTTACAAGGAGTGGACCTCACATCCTCATGGGATATGGCTGACAGTTTCTATAAGGATGTTGTCTTCACACGTGGTGCTAGAACAGGGCAAATGTAAATTGAGAGTAAGGACTAGCTATTACCTGGAACCCAGGAGAACAGGCTGAAAACCTTTCCAGGAAAAGCTGTGACCCTTCATCTTGGAATTGAAGGAGATAGCAGAGGATAAGCATTTTCAAACTATTTGTTGTCTCACTCCACCCAGATGACCCATGGATACATGGGGGTTACCACAGCATCTATGCTCTTCCCTAGAGGAGGAAGAACACACTCTGTAATTCCCACATTTATTCTGTGTATCACCTGCTGTCCCCTTGGTACTGGGGAGGCTGAGACAGGAGAATCGCTTGATTCTAGAGGTCAGAGGCCAGCCTGCACCACACTGCCAGAACCAACAACTGTCTCAAGGAAGGAAAGGAAAAAAAAAATCTGTGGAGGAAAAGAAGAAAACAGGTTGACAGAGGTGAAGGTCCTGGGATTATAAATTCTCGGTTAGGGACAAGATTACTGGAATGGAGCTGGATCCTGTCACCTGGCAAACCAATCTAGAACCATCCAATAAAGGGGCCAAACTGACGACCTCTGTCGAGTTCCAGCCCTTGGCAGAAGGGGCCCTGTCAGGCACGGCTGTGCGCGGTGGATGAAGAAAGGTGTTCATCCCCTCCACAAGGTGGGAGCCTGCCCCTCTCGGCCGCGAGGTCTCAGGAAAGCGCTCCGCACAGGCCTCGGCACTCTGAGCTGCGGTGCGGGATTTGTTCCGCAGGTAGGGACCAGAGGCAGCAAGAGTCGAATCCCCGCCGCGCCTCTGCTCCAACCCGTCCTGGCCATCCTCTGCGCCTCAGGAGCGCAGCCTCCCCCAGCGCAAGGCTCCGACCCGCGCCGAGAAGCCCGCGACGCCAGCGGCAGAGGCCTGGAGCAGCGAGAGGCCGAGCCCCACCTCACGGCTCGCGCCCCAGGCGGGCGGAGATCCCAACTCAGGGCCTCTGCCAGACAACTTCCGCGCGCTTCCACAAGCCGGCCAGGAGGGGTCTGAGGAAGAGGGTTCCCGGCGGCAGGGACAGCTAGGGCAAGGTCAGGGGAACGAGTGGGATCCGCTGACACTGGCGGAGCAGTTAGTCCTCCAGCCGCCGGAAGTGCGGGCTGTTGACGCGGCCTTTCGCAGCACCGTGAGCCTCAGCGGTTCCGCAGCCCCGCCCCAGGGTCCTCGGGGGCGGGGCCAGGCAAAAAAAACGAAACCCGCGATTTCACAGCCAGGCGTCGCGCTCCACGATTGGTGG